TATCAGCTGATAATTCACATGGCTGTAAAAGAGGTTATATAAGAGTATTTTAACTATAAGGATTTTGGGAATTGAGCTTTTATTTTGAAGGATAAAGCAGAAATGTGTATTTATTATCTTTACAATGCTTTGAATAGATAAGGTTCAAAAGACAAGAATTTTTAAAAACCTACTGTCTCTCTAATTTTAATGCTTTCTTTCATATTTTCAATCTTTTAAACATTCTGAGAGTAAAAATACTTTGGATTAATAAATTTATGAGATAATTCAAAAAGACTATGAAGGAGAAAGCTAACAGCCCAGTGCTGGTTCTGGAGTGGATCCCAGTTTTACTCTTCATTTATTAAACAATACTGCGAACTAAGTGTTATCATTAAAACAGTTTAAAACACATTTGTTTTTGTTATTTTTTTACCAGCGTCTTGGACACTCATCTTCGCAAATGGAACTGAAGTGCCCACAATTAAAATTTCAAAAGGTCTCCTATTATTAGCCAACAGGTATCTCTTTAAAATGTATGCAGAGTGGGTTGAGTTTAACATTCACTGAGCTATCCAGTAAAGTGACGCATTTCTTCATCCACATGGTAACAGGTGGATCATTTCACAAATGAATCATCGCTCCTCTTGAAACACCACCAACGTAATAGTTTCTTTTGTTTTGCTTAAAGGTGCATTATGAAGCATTATGCTCATCATAACATTAAACAGGAACTCAAAACCATAGAGAGCAGGTGGATGGAGTTTAATACGTGATATGTAAATCAAATCCTCTTTGTGCCCCTTTACTTTTGTTTGGTGTATGTAATATCCCTCCATGTTGTTTCTATAAACACTTTTTAGATAATCAGAAAAAATGGATTCTCATCCTTTCTTTTAACACACATTTTGATCTTTAAGACTCAAACTCCTGTTATTATAAATATTTTCTCGCTCACCCAGTCTTGTCTTGTACTCCATTGACTGCAGCAGCTTGTTTCTCCGTGGCTCTCTGGCACCATCCTGTGTTTCAGGAGGAATAATGGACTCTGGTTATTAAGCTCAAAGAAATATACAGACACCAATTAAAGAATCAGGGACACAATATGTGAAAAAAGTCCTGAGTCATTTTGCTCAGATAAGAAAACCTTACATGGATATTTATGCAACAGCTTGTCAGCAGTTATCAATGGTTTTTAAAGAGGTCAATCAGCTATCAAGTCAATATATGACTATATATTTCTATAAGGGGAAACTGCATAAACAAATGAACAGTCGTAAAAATGAAAAAAGGAGAAAGAAAAACTTTTGAATGCTGTTTTTTTCTTTAAAATGGTTGTCTGTATGATATTTTTCAGGATCATTTTAACAACCTGTCTTCTAAATTTTTGAAAAATGCAAATGGGACATCTAGCCAGACATCCTTTCTTGTCTTTCTTGTCTTTTTGGTGGCACTCCTTCTTGACCTTACAACTACAGCTGATCTAAATCAAAGAACACTCAGCCTTCATAATGTGACTCAAATACAGTATTCAGACTCTGTATGCCACGGTATAAATAGTGGTAGAAGTGTTTGTCTTTGCATGGGTGTTTTCATCTTTTTACCCTTTCAAAATACTTTCATAAGTCACCTTTAAAAACAGTGGTACTTCTCATTCAACCCTGTTTTTCATTTTAAGGTTTTGTATTGAATAACAATGGACTCAGCTTCTTGACTCAAAAACAGCTGATTCTCCCCCACATGACAAACCACAGCTGTAATAAAAAGAGTTTCAAGTCTTTGGTAATTTCATTAGAACCAGTAAACCACCCGAAGTGTCATCCTTAATTTTTCTCTGCTTTTCACACTTGCTGACATGTTTACTGAAAAAAGAAAAAAAAATGATGTGAAATAACTTCTGCTGAGAGACATTCTTTCTGACTCTTTCCTGGAATTCGGCTCACTAATCCTCTCGAGGGCAGTGAACCTCACAGGGTCGCTTGTGTAAAAGACTCAGTGGTCACACATGAGTTCTCTCAGGGAGGCCGTGTTTATGTCTGTCCTCATGTCTGTCTGATATTGAACACTTTGAGGGCCTTTAGGACTTTGGAGCTGATTTCTGACACCTGTTTCTTTTTAGTTTAAGTATAAAAGACTGAATAATCTTATCCTTCTCATATTGTTATCGTCAGAAACCCCAAAATTTCATATTAGTCAGTCTTAGCATGCTGAATATTTGAAATAGAACCGTATTATCATGACATCTAAAACTTTTAGTAAACTTTTCTTATGATGTAAAGACAGCAAGCAGGTAATCTGACGATGGAAATACCTGGACAGCAATTTAGCGAATGTAATGAGATGAAAAATTAATGGAACCATCCACAGCACCTTTTCAGAGAAGTGGGATAAAGCCTGCCTTTAACTCTTAATACTACATGTACTTATACTGTCAGCAGTCACATGCTGTGCCACAGGAATGTATGAGCAGTGCAGGTCAAAGAAAAAATGCAAGCAGGAGTCTCTTTCAACAATGCGTCTTTGATACGTGTGGCTCTTCTATTTCTGCACAAGACTACTTTAAGAAAACTTTCTCTGAATCATCAGGATTGTCTACGTGATAACGACCCTGAAAGATCATCAGTGATGCCTCCTGATAGTAATACAGAACAACAGTCTCCTCACTGAAGTCACAAGTGCAATCTCATGGATACTGTACCGTCAATGTGAAGGATTTCAGTCAATTTTAGCTTGTTTTTACATAACAAGGGGTACGAAAGCGTAAAGGATAAAGATCAAATTTTGGGCATATTAAAGCAGATCCTGACAACTATTGATTATATAAAAAACATTACCACTAGGTTTTTAACTATTACCACTATTAAACTGGAATGCACATTACTACACATACAACACAAGCGCAGTCTGTTCCAAGCAATACCACTAAAGAAAACAATGTGCAATGGTCATGCCATTTTCTTACTGTTTGTTTTATTTTATATCCTGTATTATCCTAGTAACCTTTCTATGTAAGGCGCTTTATGACTTGTGCCTATGAAAATCACTGTATAAATCAACCTACCTTACTTTTGCAGTATTTGTCTTTAATTCTGGGGTTTATGTCTGCAGTTTTGTAGCGTGTCATCAGTCACTAAAAATGTTCCAGTCCTCCTCTGTCCCTTTGGCACTTCCAATTTCTTATGCAACATATTACTGTAGGCTATATAAAGGAAAATTTAGTCTTTTATGTGTCTTTCATTTGGAGTAAAACTACTGTAGTTTGGTACTGGCATGGTGAAATAACAGTAGTCTGTAACCCCTGACCCATTACCTGTCAGCTCAGCCTCCAAAACAACAGATAGCGGATTAAATGTGATCTCACTTTACATCAGTACATGCAGTGTAATCTCTGTTAGTCATTAATAGGCCAATTAAAACAGTTAACCCCACATTAAGATGAAACAAGTAATCTGTTTAAAGGTTATCCTCAAAGGGAAGGTTTGTTTAGTAGGTTGTTTATTTCAGCTATCAATTTATCTGGCAGGCTAAGGCGCCTAAGCTAACAGGCCCATCATTGACAAAGGCTATACTACATTTTATCATAACAAAACTATTTGAGCACAATTTTGGTCTAGGCAAAAAAAAAGAGAAACTTAGATACATGTCTGTTCATCATTTCACATGAGGACTGAAAAAAGTCGACTGAAGGGACTGGCACACTTGTCTGTTGACTAGTGACATGTTGCATAACCACAGCCATCTGCCCCAGAGCTAGCAGCATATGGCTACCCCACCTTGCAGCATGCTGTGGGCAAATTAGCACTGCTGGTCAAATTCACCACAAAAGCATCTGTGGGTCACAGTATATCTCTACTGTGAGCAAAACTGACGGTGGTGTAGAGTCAGAGCAAAACATAACATAGTATTTACATTTCATGTCACTATAGCAAGAGACAACACACTAGAGGACTAGCTAACACCTGCCTGCTAGCTGTAGCTTACATTAGCCAGAGGGTCACTGCACATTATAGAGGTAGTTCACTTACAGCTAATGAAACTCACTTTATGAATGCCTCCTGTTCAGTCATCTTTTTCTTCACCCTCTTTGCTGTCTTCACTTTCCATCCAGTCTAGTGTCCCTATGACCATTTAATATCCCAACTTAAGAAAATAAACAGGTCATCCACTCTGCCATGTTTGTTGAATGGGTGGTAACAAGCTCCATATAGCTGTTTCCACTAGGGGTGGGCGATAAATTATCGTTCACAAGTTATCGTCAGAAAAATCCTCCATGATAAATATTTGCAATAAGAGTTTTGAATAAATGTTGAAAGTGTTTTCACATTTCAGACTTGTTTGATGTCACTAGTTTTCTCCATAACCTACCACTTAAACTTGTGGTTAAGTATCTTGTGTGACTATGCCAACTGGTTAGTGCCATCCAAGAACAATGATTGTGGGGTTGTCATGACAGAATAAGTTAAAAACATAGATAGGAATTATAATATTTCTTTTATTGTGACTTTTATTGTTATTACCAGAATGGAAAAAAAAATATTGTGATAAATTTTTTGGACCATATCGCCCATCCCTAGTTTCCACAGATTTTTTGGATACCTGTAGCAACTTAAAGATGTGGCAATAGTATGTTTTTTACCAAAACCAAGAGCAGATGCCAAGTCCATACCTACGGTATGCCATTCCTTACTGCTTATTGCTTAAAATAAAAACAGGCTTCAGACCCTCTTGCAAGTGTTACTTTAGTAAAGAGGGACATTGTGTTGGTCACTGCTTTTAGGAAATTTTAGGACTCTTTCAAGGAAATTCTCATCCCTCTTTTCTTTAAGGACCACATCAGTATTTTATGTCATTTTAAGTCAATCAAATACTTATCATATAATCTTGTATGGTTAACCATCTTTACAGGAAAAGGGGAGTATGTCGTCTGAGTAATCTGCCTTTATATTTCCATCATGCGTTTCTGTAATCTGAGCTAAGAGCAGGACTCTCTGAAAACAAAGAAGAAAAACTGCTATGCTATACTTTGGAGCAAATCCCATTTGGTATGGATCCCAAAGCAAATGGGATTTTCATTATTTCCTTAAGATAGAGTTCAACAGACTTTATTCATGTCCATATTAACTAATCATTGAACCATGAATAATAGTATTGAGTTACATGAAAAAAAAACCCTCCATTCAGTACTTGAGTAATATAAAGATAAGCAGCTGCACTGAGTAAAATAAAACTGAACATTTGAGCATGTGATATTCATTTTTTATTGTTTAAACTCATAGATTCCTGCTCAGAGTTGTGGTATTTTGTAACACTAATCCGTGAGTTCCTAACCTGGTTGGGCTCCCTCCAAAAGGTCATTAGGTAAATCTGGGGCGCTGGCAGATGATTCATGTAAGAGGAATGAAGGAAAATCCCGGATCTGCATGAGAATTTTGTTTTGGTAGTTTTTAATTTTCACTAACACTGTAGACTTGCATCTCTTTGAGCTGGTAGTTAGTCCATTTCAGGCACTTAAAGTAAAAATATTGTTGGAGCTGTTTACGATTAATAATATACCTTAAACATGATAAAGAGGCTCTAATTAGCTGCTGCCTTTGGAAACCTGTGGATTAAATCGTGACATTAATGTGTGTTTTACAGGTTTATCTGTATTGGGATAGTATATGGCTGCATGATAAATGGATTTAACTTGAAGGGAAATATCCTTTACTTGACTGTGGTGGAGTAGAAATAAAAAAGGCACCAAATGGAAATAAAACAACTTTTTTTTTTTTTTTTTAATAAATAAAAAATATACAGCACAGAGAATATACTACTCTGGGGTCATTTGTGCCCTCGGAAAATATCAGAATAACTCATCAGACAATCCTCACATTCACTTGTTTGTCAGCTCACATGTGCAGCAGAGGGTGTCAGCTGAGACTGCTGGTGGAAAGTTTGCTGACAATGAGAGTATACCCTCATCACTGACAAGCTCTACAAAGATCTGGAGGGAAATTTCAGGCTGGATTTAAAGCGATTAGTCTCCCATGATGATTTACTTTACAGTTTACAGTAGGGTCAAACTAGAAAGCAGATTTTTATTTTTTAGGTAAATTTGCGTTAGTTCTTTCATCCTTATGAAAATGACTCCGAAAATCAGTGAAATAGTTGTGAGACAACATTTTCTCTCAAATTTAAAGAATCAACCATAAAGGATTACTTTTTTCATCCATAAAACTAAATACACTGTGTCATTTGACCATATGTGGCCACAGGTGGGTGTACAATCTGCTCTATCGAAGACATATCTGACCTGATGTTCTGCTTGTTTTTCTTTCTTTTATCGCATGAAATCAGACATGAAGTCAGACTTTGGAACAAAGTCCCTACACAACATTTTATAGTCCCTCCAGGCTGTTCCTCCCTATTCACCCAGATCTTGAGTCCAGCTCCCAGCTCTGCCGTCAGGTGATCATCACAAGACCAGTGGCTTAATCCTCCTAAAGCTCTACAAAAGCAAGAACAGAAATTAGGGGCTTTCTTAATGTGCATGAAACCAAGTGGAACACAACATGATTCGGCTTTAAGTGTTTCCACTGATCTCAAAAACTATCACTGTATCTAATCTGAAGATACACAACTGTGGACCGTAGCAGACTGTGATTCCACACTCGTCTGAGGGAACTAATCGACCGTATTTCGGCTCTAATTTGATGCACAAACTGATTTGAGTGGGAGAAAACAGGTGAAATATGAAGAGCGCTTTGGGTCTAAGTCTTCTGTGTTTGCTGCTTTGGCCGGAATCTGCCGAAGCTCAGTTTCCTCGTGTTTGCTGCACAGTCCAGGGGATCCTGTCGAAGCAGTGCTGCCCTGCTCTGGGCTCGGATCCTGCTAACGTGTGTGGCGTGCTGTCTGGTAGAGGAAGCTGTGTGCCTGTTCGAGTGGATGAGAAACCCTGGGGAGGACCGTACAGTTTGAGAAATGTGGATGACAGAGAGAGATGGCCGACCAAATTCTTCAACCAGACTTGCAGGTGTAACGGTGAGTAACCCTTACTGAGATCCTGTTCAGGTGATCTAGATAATGACACGTTAAACAGAGAACATCACCTGCATAGAAATGATTTAACAGGGGAGGATTGCTCTCTGTGTTACAGGTAACTTCTCAGGCTTTGACTGTGGTCAGTGTAAATTTGGCTGGATAGGACCAAACTGTGACCAGAGGAAGACCCCTGTGGTGCGAAAGAATATCCTCTCCCTGACCCCCCAGGAGCTCGAGGAGTTCCTTGATGCTCTGGACCTGGCTAAGAGTAGCATCCACCCAGACTATGTCATTGCAAAGGAGCACTGGCTGGGACTCTTGGGACCAAACGGCGATGAACCTCAAATTAACAACATCTCCGTTTATGACTTATTTGTGTGGCAGCATTACTACTCAGTCAGAGACACTCTTCTGGGTAAATCATTATATTTCCTGATGAAACTATTCAAAGTTGTTGGTTTATGTGGTTGACCGTCTGAATTAGTATATTAGAATGACATAAATATTATTACAAAAATTGACATTAACATAATAATAGGGGAACATGTTATTAGATGTGTGGATTTTTTTAAATTACTGCTTGAGGTGGTAGATTTGTGGACTCAGTGTTTAGGTTAATGGCAAAAATATCACCATGAAACACAGCGTATAATAATTTTCTTGGAAAAGCAAGAGAAATATTAGAAAATCTCATAACTAAATGAACAAAATTTGAACCACATTCATTGTTTTCAGACATCAGAATATAGTTGTGAGCTGATATAACATCTTAATCCACACTTTCTCACCATACATGCATTTTAGGTTGTAAAGATAAAGTTTGAAAATCTCCATAAATGAAAAAAAAGTTGTTATTTTATTATTCCTCTCAGACAAATTCAGGCGGGGCAGGAGGTTGTGTTTTGATTTCAGATTTTATAACATTGGGTTTAGGATTTGTTTTTTGTGGGAAATCAGAGGAGGGATGGATTACAAAGTATTAATATTTCTTTCACAGCTATTGGAGTGGAATGTGCACATGAATGCCTTGTGATCACATAGATTAACTCATGGATCACTTTGTTTTCCTGCAGGCCCCGGGCGCCCATTCAAAGCCATTGATTTCTCACACAAAGGACCAGCATTCATAACCTGGCACAGATACCACCTCCTCACCCTGGAAAGAGAGCTACAGGTGTGTGAAAGCTTTTTGGATTTATGTAGATTTGGATAGGATTTATAAAACTCCCTACTGTAAAATGTTTAACTATGAAATTTCATAATTTTCATTTGGATTGATCAAATTTTCACTGTTTCAGCAATTGTTGTTCTCTTGAAAAGTTGAAAAGCTTTTTATTTTAAAAAGGTTTAACATTTATGGTCACATCAGTGTCCGGTATATTTAAGAAACAGAAGAAAAACAAAGAGTGTGTTCTCTGTCTAATACTCATCAGAAATCAGAGCAGTCATAGTGACACTATTAAGCACTAAATATATGTTGAAGCAGGGGTGTGTCTAGACTGCTTTGACTGGGGTGGCCGTGCCCAAGCGATGACAAATGTGGGGCTGGCAAAAAGAACATGCAGTTTTTATCCACAGAAATCATATTTAACTATTTATAAGTTTAAATTTTTCCATAATTAAAAATATATATATATATATTACATTCAGTAATACACAGAGGTACAATATATTTCACATGCTCAGTTTTTTAAAGTCTTTAAAAATATATATTTCCGTAGTAGTCACAATTTAAAGTACCAACAAACTAAATCGTGATACTGAAACACTGACTTTGGTGCTAGCAGCCAATTGCAATCCTGACGTTGTTTTTAGGATTGCAGTTTAGGATTGCAGTGCACCTGCAGTGACTGATCAGATTTCAGAGGAAGCCCGTGCCACCCTTGGACACACATCCTTGTTGATGTCCAGATTGTGATGATAATTTTACCATGATGTTATTTGATCCTGTCAGCGGCTGACCGGCAACCCAAACTTTGCAGTCCCGTACTGGAACTTTGCCACAGGGCAGAAAGAGTGTGATGTGTGCACTGACTCCATGCTGGGAGGAAGAGACCCAGACAACCCTTCGTTCATCAGCAGCCAGTCCAGATTCTCCAGATGGGGAACAATATGTAACAGGTCAGCACACAAAACTAACAGGAAAGAAAAATACAGAAGTTACAGGGTGGAAAATTTTAGAAATTGGTATAACATTCCAGTATTTCTATGATTTCTTCTCACAGCTTGGATGATTACAATCGTCTGGTCACCCTTTGTAATGGTACTAATGAGGGTTTCATTCAGAGAGGACTGATAGACAGAGGAAATGTGTCTCTGCCCACCATGAATGATGTCCGAAGCTGTCTTGGAATCAGAGACTTTGATAATCCTCCGTACTACACAAACTCCTCATCTAGTTTCAGGTATAACTCATATCTACATAAGTATTGAAAATAAGTGTGTATCTGTCATTTTAGTCTATCAAGGCGGCTCATGTATTCGATGTTTTTTTTCACAGAAACGCTCTGGAGGGCTATGAAAAACCAGACGGACAACTGGATGAATCAGTCATGAACCTTCACAACCTGGTCCATGACGTCCTTAACGGAACCAGTTCCTTGTCTCACTCTGCAGCCAACGACCCCATCTTTGTGGTTAGATTATGATATCATGGTTTTCTCTGCTGCTGCTGTTGCTGTTGAAAACCCTATGGTGTTCACGGATGTTTGTCTCACAGGTGCTCCACGCCTTCACTGACGCCATTTTTGACGAGTGGATGAAGAAGTTTGCCCCCTCAAACGCCACCTTCCCAGATCAGATGGCCCCCATTGGTCACAACAGGGACTACAACATGGTTCCCTTCTTCCCTGCCATCACCAATGAAGAGATATACATCCCATCTGAGCAGCTGGGATATTCCTACGCTGTAGACCTGGAGGGTGAGGAAGTGCTTCTTTCACTTATTTATTTATCTTAAGTAATGTTTTGACATTATAATACGATTAAACGTTTTATCGCTGGGAGTTCAAAGAGATTAATTTTGTTTATAAATCCATCCAGTAAATATGAGATTAGCTCAAGTTAGTTTAGCTTAGTTTAGCTTATAGAGTAAAGACAGCAGGCATATTATTATAGGCTTGAAAAATGTGAACTTGCTAACAGAGTAGCACTCTGTTGTGGGATTGTTTAATGTTGTACAATCACACAGATGGGTAAATCATTCATTAACGACAGCAAAGAGATTATCTTTGAAGCAAGTCTGTGCTAAAATTCAAAGCCATATCAAATCTGTCAAACTCGCTTTGTTAACTTTAGTGTTTTTATCGTTCATATTTGGTTTTCTCCTGCTAAAAAAAAAAAAAAAAAAAGCCTAACAATGAACATCCCCATCTGTGCTTCTTCTTTGCAGAGGCAGATGGAGGGCCGAGTGTATTTGTGCTGGGCTCCACTCTGGGGGGTATCTTCATCGGTCTCCTGGTGCTTCTCCTTATCTTTGTGCTCTGGCTGCGTCAGCGGAGAAACAGAGGCTTTGAACCTCTGATAAAAGCAGACTTCACAACCAGAAAGTACACAGAGGAGGCGTAGATGTTCACCTGTCGCACTTCAGTCCTTACACATACCTAAGAGAGATGGAGCAGCTGATCTAAAATGCTCTGTGGGCAAGAGGAAGATAATTCTGTAAAAAAACAAAGAAATCAAACTGTCTAGGTTTCAAGTCTAATTTATTAGAACAGTAATGTGAATCAAATAGTGTCCAATAAGGAGTAATGATAGAGATTTAACACAAGTTTCACGTGGGATCAATCAAAATAACTGTAAACTTTAAATGGTTTGGTGACTTTCTTTTACAAAATCACAAATACAAACCTACTGGGATGTTTTTAATAAATATTTATTGTCAAGAACAGTAACAAAACACAAATGTAATCATCTTAATTGCACTGAAAAACGATAAGGCATATTTTCTCTACAGCTTCCTCTGCCCTCTTGGTTTGAATTGAAATTCAAATGTAAAACTAACTTTACCTCATCAGGATTGAACCTCATACAGCAATGCATTGATTGTAAAAAATGTCTTACAGCGTTTCCTGCTACTTCTACTTTGTAGGTAATTTGTCTCACCAGACATCCATTTTAAATATTTTATTGCAAAAATATTACCATGAAAAGTTCAATGATACAAAACATAAAAAGGGCATCCTGTAAGATCATTATTGGTAATAAAGAATCCTTTTAAATGAGACATCTGACACATTATCTCTTCTTGCTATGCTAATGAAAATGCTGTCATGATTGCTATGATTAAAAAAGCTCAACATATATTCATGTATGTACTGCTAAGGATGTTAACACTGGTTAATTCTGTGGATATGTAAGCTTAGCTGGCCTGGTGGTTATGGAGCTGACGGGCTCTCAGAGAACAGTGGACGTACATACCGGCTGGTTTTTGTCCGCCCCCCTCAGCAGTGCCAGGCCTCTCACATTCTCTGTAAGTACGCTCTACTGAGGAGCTTCAGCGGAGCATTCAGGCCTGTCCAGTCTCCACAGATTCTCATTTCACAGGTGACTGTGGTCGGCTTCAAGCCTGTCTGTGCTGCAGACACAACCATTCAAGCTTTACAGATAAATTTAGGTGCCTTTTCTTTGCATTTTCAGTAACCACTGTGTGCTGTTTGCTGCTTCGTCTTTAATAATTCCTGCACCTTTTACATAACTGTGGTGATAAAATAAAAATGAAAAAAAAAAAAAATCTACATTGAACTTCACTTTTAATACTTCAGTTTTGTAGTTTTTTTTGGTATAACACTACCACATATTTCAACAACTTTTTTTTTTTAATTCAAACTGTGAATGTAGTTAGATAAGCTTTGGCTAACAATCACATATGCCCCTTTTTTTGTTCCTGTCCTCCCTCTTTGTGCAAATACTAGAAATGAAATATTTTATACTTGTTCAAAGACAAATCACAAAATACAACTGAGGATTTCTTTAAGACCAAATTACAGTTCACTGATAGAGACATTACAGCAGCACCAATCTTTCCTTGGTAATGTTCTGGTTCTATATTGAATTGTGGTGCACGTCACTACATGCTGATGCTTCCCTGTTAGTGTGTCATCTGTAGGATTCTCTGATAAGAGTTGAAGACATCAGGTACAAACTCACCTACACATTTCCTCGCTCTCACATAAACCCAGAACTGGAAATGAGGACCTGCACCTCAAACCACTACAGAACCACCATCCCTATGATCACCTCCCTGTCAATTGATATCATCTTCCCTTTTAGTGTCAGCTGTTGCTCCATATTAGTTCAGTCCAGGCTGTCTGCTTCCAAAGCCAAGCCTGAGAAACCAGCATGATATACACTTATTTTGCAGATTATAAATTTGTTGCATGAATAATAAAAAAAGCCTGTCTAAACTTTTTTGCCTTTTTTACAAAATGTGATAATGGAGCACTATGAGCAGACCCAGAAAAATCTTAACCTATGATGATGAAATGGCTGAATGGACTTTAAACATAAGATGATTCGACGTGTTTCAAGCCTGCATGGGTTTATGACAAACTTAGCTCAATATCATAATATAGTGATAATTTTTGGAACCGAAAGTCAATGATTGGCACATAATTTGATGACAACAGAAGAAGGATTCACTTCAAATGAAATGTTGAAACCAAATGATCCTGTATTATCCCCTTTAAGATAACTATCCTTTGTAAATTTCTCAAAATATCCTGTTTAACATATAGTAAAAGTTATCAAGTGCCTCTTTTTTGATGCATCAAATAACCACATTCTCAACATTTTTAAACACACAAACAGTTTTTTTGCATTAAAAAACTCAAAACAATCAAAGTGCGTGTTATAATTTTCCACATGGAGACCTACATTAATACCTGCCATATGTGCAAGACATCTCTGGAGCAGAGTTTGTGGGGGTCGGCATCAGGGTTAGATGAAGGAGAGATGCCATAAAATATCAAGTCCAAGGATGGCACTGTACGATCTTTGGGAAAGTGGGAAATCATGATGCATGACTGCTCTCTTTTTTCAGAGCGGGCTCCTTTAGCCGTGAGGCGGGCACAGCCTGGATACTGTCTGCTCGACTGTAGCTCCAATCTGCCTGAATACAAAAACTGCAAAAATGAAAAAAGAACCCTGCTGTCCATGTTTAGCTGGTTCCTCTAGCATTATCTCCATTGTCGGTGGAGTGCCAGGGCTGAGAGGGCCAGCATGGTTGGCAGGGCTACAGAAGAAGCACGGAGCGGGGAAGAATCATCTACAGGCCCGCTTCGGTCGGCTTCCACCACTGGGGCTTCAGAGGCGGCATCGTCTGTGTCTGTGGGGCAGACATCTGTGCAGCCACTGCCGCTGCCTGAGCCACTGCCTTCATCGCCTGCAACAAAACGCACCAGACTGAGCACATTGCAGGAAATACAGAATCAGTGTTATCACTTGAAAAATAGTGATCCCATATTTGAGAGGGGATGTGCCACACCCAGCTCTGGTAAACATTTAGCACAATAACATTTCTATTTCCTACTGTATGTGCAGGCCGTGCATATAGGAACTATATAATACCATTTTCCCCTGCTCCCTGGGCTCTTCACATTATTGAAAACACTGCTCACTAAAACGTTCTGCCTCATAATAGCTTCTAACTGGCTTCTTATTGTGTCATATCACAAAAAGCCTGTGGTTGTTATTTGCTCCTTCTGCCTACTCGCTGACGCTGATTAGCTTTGCCACAAGGTTAAGTAGCATTTCAAAGCAGACGGCTCATCGAGATGACTGACAAGCAGGAGCATGAACTCGACCGACCGGGGCAGCGAGGGCAGCGCTGAAAATAGATTCCCACGCCAAAAGAAAAGACACATTGTGCTTGAGATAAGAGAAAAACTGCTTACTTGAGTCTTGAAAGTAGATGTCATTGCCGTTGTAGGCGTTTTTTAACTTGTTGGTCATCACCCTCAGTGCCATGATCTGCTGGCGGATGAAGGTATCCGGGCGGGTGATATCCACACCCACCTCTGGGTTATTAACCTGGTTTGTGAGTCCATCCTTTTGAACTTCAGGGAAGTACCTTTTGTGGGAAAAATAGAAGTTTCACATGAAAATATTTTGTTTTTTGACTCTTAAAATTTTTCATTCTTGCAATCAAAATGTCATCAAGAAATGCCAGAGATGGGGTAAAGGCTTGGGGTTGTTTTAAAATTGCTCTCTGAGGACTGAACAGTGTTGGGAAAAGCAACACTTGACCTCAACATGTCGGGTTACGTTCTGATATTTCTCCTGGGAACAAACGGTCAGCTGCCTGCGTTCCTGTTTGATAAATACGCAGAGAGCTGTCATGTGAGGGCATTCCATAGATCCACTTACACAACAGCGTTTGTTTCCTGTAAGCCCATGTCATTCTGGGTAATATGCACCCCGAGGAAGAGGAGGAGAAATCTTGGTCACGTAAAAGCAGCAGCTGCCACACCCAATACCAATGTATACGGTCAAATTATTAGCTTTAGGAGTAATGTGAAGAATTTTAATTTCATGAATGCTGAACATCTTTTTCATCATACGTTTCATGTTTTGATAAAAGCAGTGCAAATCAATTAGGTGTGATCCAAGCCGAGCTGCGGGCATTTTAAGCGCAAATATTTTCTTGAAAATGACATTAAAAGGGACGCACCCTGCTGGATTAAGGTTGTAGTGTGGTATTAAAGTATAATTCTAGGAACTAATCCAGGTTGTTTCTTTTGCTAAACACTGAAGCTGGAAAGATCCAAACTGATTCTTGGATTCTGCATTTTGTTTTACATCACCGACTCACAGGAAAAGTAGGCCAAGCTCCAACAAAACTACATTTAGGTCAGTGAACGGAAACAATCAGGTCCTGAATTTTGAGATAGCACTGATTAAAACTAGTGGAGTGAACAGACTTTGGACTTTTAAATAACCTTTGTTCTGGCGCGCATTAGCCCCTCCGGTCCTGGTGCACTTACCTGCCCTTAGTGTGTCCGTTCCAGCACTCCTCATCGCTGGCATTTCCAGCGGTCACTCTGTCCTCTATGCACATCGCCTCAGGCAGGTTGGACCAAAATTTCTTTGACAGCTTCAGTTTCTCTTTTATGTCGACCACCTGAGCAAAGACAAAGGTCATTACAAGAGAGGAAAAACCTGTCTGTGGAGTAACAGACAGGAAAATGACACACAACAGGGAGTAAATTTAAAGGCTGTTTGACCCTAAAGAATATATTTCTGATTAGAAAATATCCTGACAACAGTGAAAAAAAAAAACACCCTAAATCAAGTAGAGCTCTGAACAGACTCAGCGAGCAGAGCCAGGGTGTAGAGGAGGGTTGGCACACACAGAGCTGTGTGCCAGAGGAGGAGACGCACTCGTCCCAATGTGACACACACTGGGAAGGTAGAGTCAGAGCTGCACTTCCTCACCTCATGCCCCAAATATCAGACTGTACACAGAGAACATCTTCCTTGAAAAAAACAAAAACAACAACACAGAAATACACCCAGAATCTCTCAACACAACACACAAAGAGAAAGTTCCTATTTATAAGTGGAAAAGTGAACAGTTGACTTTATGGCAGAAATAAGAGTCAGAGCTTTTATTCAAATAAAACCTGAGGAGCAGCTCCACTCCCTCCCTCACACTAAAGAAAAAAGATAAACAACCTAAAAATACATGAAACTATACACAAAAAGAAACTAATGCATAAATTAACAAAATACACACACAAAAAAAACATATATAAGGACAAATGGACTTCTAATGCTCTTTTAGGGACACACAAAAAATACTAAATTTCACCTTTTTATTTTTCTTTAGTTTCCTCTAAATCTCATTGACACCTGTGTAATAACATCCTGATTTTATTCATGCTATAAGAGCATAGAGAATTAAGGCACACAATAGTTGGAAATTGTAGAAAACACTCTCACTTTTAAAAACTAAACATTTGTAACAATGAGAATTCATTTCATAAAACATTATATTTCCTGAGGAATAAACTACTCCAGTAAAAATAACTCAGAGTGTCACTACTGTCGTTTTCTTTAATTTAATGACAGTCTCTTTATTTATTCAATTTCTTTTATTTCTGCATCAATCTTATAAATTTATATTAAAAATAGTCAAATATCCTAATGAAAGCATCTGTTTAGAAACACAAAAAGTGTCATTGTATATTTGAATTTTATCTTTCTTTATTAAAACTCTCTCCCCATACATCTCATTTGTAACTTGATGATGAAACTGTCCCACCATCACTTATTACCACATCTTATCGAAGGATTATAAAATTTGGGATTCAACCTGGAGACATTTGAACCTCCTGACTCCCCCTCCAAATTATTCAGGTTTAATTTCCCCTCCGTGTTGACTATCGAATGTTTGCATCATGAAAAGTAAAACCATGCAGGCTTGCAGCCATAATTTCAGCGTCAATGTCAGACTTAAATGCTCCTTTGCATCCCGGCCATGTGACACAGTCAGATATCGTTCCCTGGCTTGAGCCTGTTGAACTCCCAATCTTTCATCAAACACGGAATTTGACATATTTCACTGAAGCTGAGGGAGAGACTGATAGCAGCAGGTTGGCCCCATTATCTTTTTCCGTCTGACTTGCTGTTGGCTTACGTGAAATTGTGGTGAACCTGAGCAGAACATGAAAGGTGCTGTACTGCCTGTGTGACGCTGCTGTAGGCCCCGACTCTGCTTTTGATGTGTTAATCCTGTCACACTGATGCCAAAGCACTTCAGCGGCTCTGATACTGCCCAGAGGGTCAAGGCAATGCTCAATGCAGGAGACTGACTGGCAATGTTTGACTAAAAGCTCATGTATTAAGTCTGGTTAAATGAGGGGTAGGTTCACA